CGGAATATGAAAAATATTCGTTCAAATGGAAATATATTGCCAAATGATAAACAAATCTCACGTTATTTGGCATCAGCGCCGTGAAAATGTCATTTTAATATGCTAAGAAATGGATTCCATACAATTTTTTAAAATAATACATCCGTGCGCCGCGGATACTGATGCTAACGATAACACCTCCTAATTATCGGAACTCAGGGATAATGCAGTGATAAAGAGAAGCAAGCACCTGTCCGACACACAAAGAAGAAAAGTAGTTAGTAGTAAGGAGGGTCCACAAATTGGCAATGCAGCTGGTGCCTTCCAGCATCTTTGAGTGCCACCTGGAGGGCCAAATTTCACACATAATAATGATTAAGTATTCTATGTTGCTGTATTTTATTATATATTATATAAATACATTGCTGAATGCCAATATTTCTTATGTCCTTTTGTACGAGAAGCTTTCAATAATTTTTTTTCTATTTTGTTTCTCAGCTGATTTTGTTGTGACTTCTACATCTTGAAGAATGCATACCCGTCACTAAGGATGTGACGTTGGAACGAAATTGGTCAACATGTGAATCAGCCGCAGGTGGCAGAACTTGTGACTTTCTCTGTTTTTTAAGCGAGTTATTTACAGATTTCAAACTCGATTTTTCATATTGTCTCTTAAGGTTGTTTTGCTGAATGGTGACCAGATGAGGGCCTTATCACTTATATATGAGCAGTAAAGTTACTGAAATATATTTATTAGTTGTCCCTAACCGAGTATCCCTATCCCTATACATTTTTTGGGGGGAGGGGGAGGGGGGAGGGGAGGAAGGTGGGGTATTTTTCTTGACTTCATTTCAACACACATTGACCTACAACTTTCACTTATTTGAGCATGAATGTCAATCAATGTTCATTAAAACTTACAAGAAAATCCATAATGTAGAACAACCATATTCACTGTCGTGAACTTCACTTCAATTTTCTATTAAAACAATATTTTCCACTTTGAGACCCTACAAGCAATTAAGTTTCTTTTCGAGTCTCACTATTTTCACATATAATATGCAAAGTTCTTTGTTCTAAACGTAGTGTTGGATATTTATTCATAAATCCATAAGGTTTGGGCTTATTATTGCGTCTAAATTTGCCGCATATTTGGAAGGGCACATTGACAGGTTTGTTTAACGTAAACTATACTCCCAAATTAAATCCAACATTGCCAAATGATCACCATGTCTTTCTTAGACCACAATGAATACAAGACAAATTGGTGAAATTTTAATCTTTTTGGGGTGAATTTTAAAATTGCCAATTATCACTTTATAAATATTATTTATTTTTTATTTCGGTTTGTTTTTTCATGTTACGATGTTGATCCATTAGGAACAGTTGGCGCATTTATCATGTATATTATGGAAATAAAATATTCGAAGGCGTTTCAGCAAGTTTGAGATTTTCGGAATCTGCTCCTTTAAGGGAAGGTTAAAGTCTCAGTTGGATACCAGGTAGGTCACTCTGAGATCCTTCCTGAATGTTAGCGTCCATGGGTTGGTCGGTTGGACAATCGCCTGTATCTTAGAATATTTTGATAGTAGACTTCCTTGTAGACACTTGTAACTAAATAGGACAGAAAGGGTTAGATCAAAGATGCACGAATCATCTCCATTTTTATATTCTTCTTTACTTGAGAAGGAAGTTTAAAATTAACTCTCCAAAATTATTTTCACAGCTTTGTATGGCCTGACGCTAAGAGAGGCGTTTCGCTAATCCTGTCAACATCCTCAAGGGCTCAGGTGAATAAAGTGGATACAAACTAGATGGGACAACCGCACGTACAGCCAAGATGGTTGAGATGAAGTAGAGAGCATGGGGGTGAACAGGCCTCCTACCGGACCCCAACTCCCATGTTCATGTGTAGGTTGTGTCAGTGTGTGCTGGTAGAATCTCCACAAGTGTAAGCTGGTTGTTAATAGTTGGTTATGATAGGTTGATATTTAATGCTTCGACTATGTCTAATTTTCTACTGACGTTGTATCTGTCGATTATTTCAGTTGTAATGTTCGATATATAGGGACGACCTCACGAACCTTTAAACGCCGCATTTTTTATCATATTGCACAGGATTCCCCTTTAAATAAGCTGTATTTTCTGCAGTTAGGGATAACTGGGAAGAAATGGACTACCCTTTCACTTACAGCAATTTCACTGTTCCGTTTGCTCATTCGTCACGTCTAGAACTCAACATATTGGATTCTGAACTCAAAATATTGTTGATTCGTGGTGTCAGCTCCCGAATGAACACAGCCTCAGGAGTAAGAACAAAACCGGAACGTGAAGACGCCAACATAGAAGACACTGCTCAACATGTCACACCACTATACCTGAATAATCTTTACATTTGCTTTGTCCTTATTTACGTCCCCTATCCTTCCCCCATTTATGCCCAATTCTTCCATAACGATGTACTCCTTACCTTTCTGTTTTATGTTCCTGACCTACCTAATGACCTAATGGTATGAATCCAATACGGATTTAGACAAGTCTGCCCGCGACCGGCAGCATTTGAGAGAAGGATTTTACCTTATTTTGGTAGGGCAAACTACCAGAAGAGGTAAGGGCGCATGACGTTGGCTTTACTATCTGGAACGGGTTGTTAGGATCCATAGTACTGCACTCGGAAGGGTTTGTAAGGATCATCAAACTTCAGCTTCATACAGCAGCAGGACTGGTCAGCCTTATCAACGCCTCCGGACCAACACTGACCTCCTCCACCGAAGCTCAGGAGGAGGTCTATGATGACCTCGGCCTAACTCTCAGAGACGCACCTCAACAAGAGCCAGTCTTCCTTCTGGGAGACTTCAACGCAAGAGTTAGTTCCGACCACAGCTCTTGGCCTTCCTGTCTGGGACAGTTTGGATTTGGGAAGATGAATGAGAATGGGCAGAGCCTCCTTGAGTTCTGCTGTCGTCACGATCTTTGCGTCACTAATTCCTTCTTTCACACCAAGCCCCAGTACAAAGTTTCCTGGAGACACCTCAGGTCTAAGCATTGGCACCAACTCGACCTGGTGTTTTCGGGACATAGCAATCTGAAAAGCGTCAAACTGACCCGCAGCTTCCAGAGCGCAGAATGTGACACCGACCACTCCCTCGTCGATTGCAACCCCGGAAAATCCACAGAGCAAAAGATGGAAGAATACCCATTAACGTAAACAAGACCCGTGATCTTCACAAGGTGGAGTTCACTTCTGCGCTGGTAAATGCCCTTCCTGTACCACCCTGTGATAGCGCAAGTGAGAGGTGGTCACATCTCAGGGGGCACTATTTTCAACACTGCCATGTCCACCTTCGATAAGAAGCAGAACAAGTCAGTAGATTGGTTCGATGCCAGTGCAGAGGAACTATTACCCCTCGTAGAGGAGAAAAAATGACCTCTCTCATCCTACATGAACCTGCCCTCAGAATGGAACCTACAGGCCCTCCGTACTGCCCACAGTAGAGGCGCAGTAACGATTACTGGCTCCGACTCTGTTCCAGCATCCAGACAGCAGCTACCGTAGGCATGTTCGAAGGGATCAAACAGGCAACAGGTCCTACACAAAACAGACGGCTCCTCTAAAATCAGCCACTTGGAAGATCATTAAAGACCGTGATCAGCAGATGAATCGCTAGGTGGAACATTACTCCAAACTCCACTCTAGAGAGAACTTGGTCAGTGTAGAGGCCCTGGATGCAATCGAGTGCTTGCGCATCATGGAAGAACTAGACCTTGAACCGACTGTGGAAGAAGTTGAGAAAGCACTGGATTCCCTTTCCTCATGCACGGGGCCCAGAAAACGACGGAATTCTGACGGAAGTTTTCAAGTGCGCTCGAGGAACACTTAAAACTGAGCTTCATGAATTTCTGTGCCAGTGCTGGAGGGAGGGCTCGGTGCCACAAGACATGAGAGATACGGACATCGTCATTCTCTACAAAAATTAAGGTGACAGAACGATTGCAACAACTATCGCTTTTCCCCATGGGTTGTTATATCCCCTATCAAGGTTTTCCCCATGTTGTTATAGACACTTATTTTCCTCGGGTAATTTTCTAATATTCTGATGAAATTTAGCCTCAGTATCGTGTGTTATGTGGGCACGATGGAGAGACCCTCCCTTCACCGCTGAGAGAATAACAAAGAGATTTTCTTGGTTCACTCTCTTGATCTTTAACCCGGACACGCACTTTGTACTTCTCATAGTGTATACTGTAGTATAGTGGTCTACGTTCTCGATTCACAATTGAGGGCCCCAGATTCAATTTAGTATTTCGAAATAGTTGGGACCTCGAATCAAGCCTAGGGACATATCTTCCTATTCCCGACAGTGAGAATTAAGACGCAGTTTGAATATCACAGCAGCAGCAGTATAGGAGCGTTCATTGTTGACAGAGGACCAGCATCTTGTGCAGACAATGTGGAATTCTGAACGTCAGACTTTCAGCCAGACTTACTTGTATTTCCTCGGTGTCCAGGGCGGCGGCGGCGGCTGTAAGCAAGGCGGCCAGCACCAGTAGACGCCCCGACCGCCACAACATGTTGGTGTGGCCTGTGATGCTGTGGCCTGTGGTGAAAGACTGGCCCGGGAGGGCTCCACCAGGCCCTACTTTGGCCTTATCTTCTGCTATCATGTATGAAGTGTCCACCACGACTGATAATCGTGCAGCCTGTTGCCTGTGTTTCGTCGTTGCCGGCGGCCCTGGGACTGCCACAGCACCCACATTATTGCTGGCTTTTCTCCCAGGCTATCATTAAGGCAAGGATCATCTTAACCCTCTTGATCAGGTAACAAGTGCAGAAGTTTATTGTGACCAATGCTGTAAAAATTTCTGCCGTTGCTCAATCAACATTTCGATGTTTCCAGCTAGATGAACATATTAACAATCAGTGTCGTGGTCATCACAGATGGGGACCTTAGGAAGCTGTTGGAGAAGCTCCGTACATTGTCACTATTGGAGGCTATTGTATATCAGAGTGAAATGTTCTTGTTCGTCTGCAGTTTCTAGCTATGGAAAGCTGTTAGGAGAATTCTGCATCTGAAGAACTGAGGCTGTGTTAGAAAAGCTTTCCAGTCAGAGGAAATGCGCTGTTGGAGGAACTCTTCAGATGGTATCCCAGAAACAGTGTTGGAGGAACTCTTCAGATGGTATCCCTGAAACAGTGTTGGAGGAGCTCTTCAGATGGTATCCCAGAAACAGTGTTGGAGGAACTCTTCAGATGGTATCCCTGAAACAGTGTTGGAGGAACTCTTAAGATGGTATCCCAGAAACAGTGTTGGAGGAACTCTTCAGATGGTATCCCAGAAACAGTGTTGGAGGAACTCTTCAGATGGTATCCCTGAAACAGTGTTGGAGGAACTCTTCAGATGGTATCCCAGAAACAGTGTTGGAGGAACTCTTCAGATGGTATCCCAGAAACAGTGTTGGAGGAACTCTTCAGATGGTATCCCAGAAACAGTGTTGGAGGAACTCTTCAGATGGTACCCCAGAAACAGTGTTGGAGGAACTCTTCAGATGGTATCCCAGAAACAGTGTTGGAGGAACTCTTCAGATGGTATCCCAGAAACAGTGTTGGAGGAACTCTTCAGATGGTATCCCAGAAACAGTGTTGAAGGAACTCTTCAGATGGTATCCCAGAAACAGTGTTGGAGGAACTCTTCAGATGGTATCCCAGAAACAGTGTTGGAGGAACTCTTCAGATGGTATCCCAGAAACAGTGTTGGAGGAACTCTTCAGATGGTATCCCAGAAACAGTGTTGGAGGAACTCTTCAGATGGTACCCGTGAGAGGCAATGGAAGTTACCACAGGCTTCACATTTCATCTGAAGTTCTTAACCAAACATGACTAAGTATTCAGTGTTCTTTTTTAAATTGTGGACATTTTAAACCTTAATTTGAACGAAGGTTAAATGCTTATTAATATTAATGTTAGATTTTTTTACATAGTTTTCTCTAACATTGGTTTGCATATCATCTGTACAGTAAGTTAGGCTTGTGTGTCTAGTGGAGTACCAAGTTGTGAAGTACAGCGTACTAAAGACATTTATTCATTTAGTATAAAAATATCTTTGGCTATTTTATTGATAATATGTCAAACAATATTTGATTATTCTTTAAACTAATTAATGGATACAGAAGAATTCTCAGTTAATTGTTGTTATATCAGTAAATTATGGATATGAGGGTGGGCGTGGGGGTATTACGTTTGTAAATAATGGCCATTAAACATTTAATTATCGATCGTTATGGTGTCAAATTATTGGGTAAAATGTCTGTAGACTTTGGGGCATTTTGTTGGTAAATTCTAGGGCATTATGTCGGTAAGTTATAGGGCATTGTGTTGGCAAATTGTTGTAACATTCAGTACATTGTAGAGCATTTCAACTATAACTATAGAGATATTTATATGGGAACAATGTTGGTAAATTGTTAGGCTTTATGTCAGTATATTATGAGGCATTATTTCTGTAAATTATTGGGCGTTATGTCCGAAAATGTTGGTTATTATATCCGTAAATTTTATGGTTTTACGTCTGTAAATGGTAAGTATCATGTCGAAAAATTGTGGGACATTTTGTCGGTAAAGTGTGGGGCGATATATTAGCGAATTGTGAGGCATAATATATGAATATTATTTGTCATTGTGACGTAAATTATGGAGCATTATAACGGTTAATTTGGGGGGGGGGGGGTATGGGCATTATGCCAGTAAACTAAGGGTAAGGGTAAACTATTACGTCGGTAACCTAGTGTTCTGTGTCTGTGCTTTATCGTGACAAACGTCAATCTCCTGCACTGTGCGGAAATAATCAGCACTTCAGAATATATTGAAAACTGTTCGGGAGACGTTAGATGTTTTAGAGCCTGACCTTAAGACGTGACTGTTTTATCTTATCCCCCTCAGATCTTGTCAAATTCCTTTGTCGTGAGCTTTTTATCTTTAAATCCGTATTGCAAGCGACGTCATTGATATCTTCACCGATATCTCTTAATGCTCAGTTTACTAAGTGTGGCTCGTGAGAAAACAGTCTGAGTGGACACAATGACCGGAGACTACAAGAATAACATATACTCTGCAAAAGGGCTGTTGTCCCATGCGGGGAAGCTTCTATATATGGTCGACCAGAATTACAAACATATGTCTAACCTACGCTTGAAACAATCCAGCGATTCCACCCTTATGTCATCCAGAAATTTCATCCAAAAATCAAAACTCCAATTTTGCAACCCGGTATTTACCCAGGTTCTTCCTGAACCTTAATTTATATAATTTTGATTCACTGACACTACCAAACACTCTAAGAATAACACAAATTCATCATCTCATTAAGTTAGATTTAATACAAATAGTACTATTATGTATAGATATATTTAGATAATATTAATATCACTTTGTTATGCTCTGTAACCTGTTTCTATACTTCAGTTAGGCCTTCTTTAGTCTTAAACATTTTAAAGAATGTTCATTAAGGTTTCTGAATCTGTCTTCACATAAAAGATTTCTAATACCTGCGTCAATATTCGCTGTATTCACCTAGTTGTGTTTGCGGTGGTTGAGCTTCTGTATGCGTCCAGGCGAGTTCACATTACAGTACAGCGACCAAAACTGAATTATGTATTGTAAATAAGGCCTATCAAGGGCAAGATAGGTCTGTCCCATTCAAGTGATCTATTGCTCTTCTTACAAATCGGCACCACATTAGCAAGCCGTATATACAGTGCCAATGGTAGTGGGTGGCTTCCTGGAAAGGGTCGGCAGTTGACCTGATAGAGGGAAGGGGATAACCTCTATAAGCCTAAACAGGCTTTCTGTGCCCCGTCTGTTGGAAGGGAAAAGGTCATTTTCCGGGGAAAGCGCCAAGCCATTAAGACTGTGGCACTTGGAAGGGGTCTGGATAAGGATATGGGAAGGGACGGGGGAAAGGAATGGTGAACTAACATTATAATTTGTCGTGAAGATCATCTACAGTTTCCTCAGTTTGAGATGCTACTAATATTTCAGCCCATCCTCCTGTTTTGGTAGTACTTATAGGAAGGATGAGGATCATAGTACATATACCGACGTACAACGCAAATATAAAGTATTAATCGGTACTATTGAATTTGGACAAACTGAAAACTGATTTTCTACTTATTTTACAAATACAAACTGAACTAACAAAACCTAACCTCCCTAGGCCTAATTCACGTTATATGAGGCCTAATATTGAACATATATGTGCTATACTTGGCCTAGGAATATTTGTTTGTTTTTTACCCTTATTTTTTGGGTCTCTATAAAGTAAAGGAGTACAGACTTTTACTATCTAATTGCTTAGTACGTCAATGTTTGTACTATGGTGCGCAGAGTTACAAAAAATATTATCTAAACAGGAGGATGGGTTGTAATATATGGATGCAAGAACATAATATTCTTCTCAATTACTCTGTCTTTGAAATTATTGGTTATCTGCCTCATAGGTTTGTGATGGTAAACAGAGACGGATAGACTGGAGGGATGACATGGAATTTCTAGAGAAGCAATAACAGTCAGAAGACTGTCATGCACAACCTGTTCTTGTGAGACTTACACCGAGCAGTGAAGGGCTTGTGGCTCATGCTTACTACACACAGTGATGAGCCTGTGGTTCGTGTACACTACACACAGTGAAGGACCTGTGGCTCATGCTCACTACACACAGTGAAGGACCTGTGGCTCATGCTCACTACACACAGTGAAGGACCTGTGGCTCATGCTCACTACACACAGTGAAGGACCTGTGGCTCGTGCTCACTACACACAGTGAAGGACCTGTGGCTCATGCTCACTACACACAGTGAAGGACCTGTGGCTCATGCTCACTACACACAGTGAAGGACCTGTGGCTCATGCTCACTACACACAGTGAAGGACCTGTGGCTCATGCTCACTACACACAGTGAAAGACCTGTGGCTCATGCTCACTACACACAGTGAAGGACTTGTGGCTCATGCTCACTACACACAGTGAAGGACCTGTGGCTCATGCTCACTACACACAGTGAAGGACCTGTGGCTCATGCACACTACATGCAAGTAACAAGTCAAGATAAAATGACTTTTCTCGTCTAAAAGATTACTACTGATTGTCCTTATCTTACAGTACATTAGAGCACCAGATAATTAGGTCACGAATTATTATTACAAGAAAATCAATGATCAACAACAGTGTAATATTATTGTATTAGTTTTAATGCTTGGAAGATAGCAAGGGTTTTTATTCCATAGAATCATTTCTTTTAGGAGATGAGTCTACTGGAGCTGTCTTCACAACAAAGAATTAAAGAGCAAGATCTATTCAGCCAGTTAACTTGGGGAGTTTCTACGACATGATCTTAAGGAAAATGACGTGTTCTTAAGCCCACGTCATGTAACCGACTCCTAAACTATACCCATTAATGAGGGCAATCATTGGTAACTCTGAAACCATTAAGAAGAGCTCTCCAAAATCCCACTAAACACCTCAAAGTTTTTTGTGCGCTCGCCCGAGACACGAAAGTGTTAAGGAGACATGCACACATTATAAATGCACACACACTCACACACACACACACACACACACACACACACACACACACACACACACACACACACACACACACACACACACACACACACACACACACAC